TTCATGGACTCCGTCCTTCCAAAACTGAGCTAATAAATTTCAGTCACTTTAGGTGTCTGTGTTTGGGGTAACTTGCTAAAGAGGCTCTAGGAAAACCAAATTAGAAGAAATTGTCATTATCAGATATCTCAAATTTGTCTTTATCTTTCTAACAGTACAAATTACCAGCTTAAATCATTACATTCAAAATCTGATTTTATATATATATATATATATATATATATGCCGAAAAACATAATATCCTGAAAAGTCCAACTTAATTAGAATGTAAATGTTATTTTTCTAATAATAACTAGAAATGACAATTGCATAGGGTTGCCAGATAAAATGCCACCGAATCAAATTTAAATAAGCAATACATAATTTTTCGTGTGAGTATGCCCCAGATATTATCTTAGACACATTTATACACATATAAAGGACAGTGAATTATTTATCTGAAATCCAAATTTAGCTAGCATCCTGTACTTTATTAAACCTGGAACCTACAATTGGAGCAGAGAGATTGCAATCTCACTTAAAGTCAGACAGCTGATAAAATGTGGAACTTGGCTTGAACTTATGTATCAGACTCCTAAGATCATGCACTTCATAGCTCATCAGCCTGCCTAAAGAGGAAATAATAAAACTCAGGAAAAAGTAGTCATACTTCAAGAAGCCACGAGTTCTGGAAATCAGATCATAAAAATGGAAGGGTGATATCTAGCTGTGACTACCAAGCCTATTACATATGAAGAATTCTGAAGAAATAAAATTCAAACATTCTTGTGGTGGCAGCAGTGGTGGTGGAGATAAGCTTTTCCCTTTCATGATTCTTTGCAAATGTGACAGGAGACGTAGAGGACTCAGACATTTTGGTCTTGCTGGGTAGTAGATGAGGGTATGGATGTAAAAAATAATGACTGCAATTCCTATTAATTATAATAATTATACAAGTGGATACATATATACATTATCATTTTCCAACCTCAATATGGCTCCCTGGTACTATCAGTCATATAACTTCAATAGCTTTTTAAAAAATATCTTCTTTCAAATGATCCAAACTCCTACTTGACCTTCCCCTGGACTTTCTCTCATATACTCCTTTCCCATTTCCACACCCATATACAAGTTCAAGCCCTCAAAACTATATTCCCATATAACTTCAAGGTTTCCTAACTTTAAGCTCTGTGTCCCCATCTAATTACCCTACCAATTATTTGTATACAAATTCATAAATCTAAAACGCCCAATACTATCTATCCAATCAAATATTTCATATGTGTTTTTAAATATTTAATCAATCTCAAATTTAACTCAAGTTGCTCCCTCCATTTCAATTTTTACCCATTAAAATTCCACAAATATGAAAGTTAAGCAGGCTGGATTAGAGTTAGCATTTTAAATACTTTGGTATAGTCCTCATTTCCACAAAGAAATATTTTCTCTTCACAGTCCTTAAATGTACCCCTCTTATTCCACTGACATTTGTTTCGTATTTTTGGCAGAGTTGTCTACAGAGAATAATTTGCTTCTATAAGAAAGACCATGGAATACACAAAATGAGATCCAAACTCAATACTGTAAAATGGGAATGGGCATAGGAAATGTAGAGATAGATATGTGCATACAATGTTCAAAAGGTAAGGGTTTCTCCATTCAGACGAATGCTGTCATATGATGACAGAGTTTGCTTGATGTCTTCCTATGATTAAGTTGAATTTAGGCTTTTCACAAAATTATTATAGAAATGATATGTAGTTCTTGGTGCATCTTATCAGGAGGTACATGATATTTGCACGTTTTATAGTTTAGATCTACAAAGTCCCTCAAAGTCTCATGATAGAGGTGGAGTTTTAGGAAGGTGACTGGATTATGGAGATGCTACACTCATCTTTGAACTAGTGCACTAGTGAGTTCATAGCCTACTATGCTCTTTGGAGGTGAGGCCTGGTCAGATCAAGCAAGTCACTGGGGGCATGACCTGAAAGGGTGTATTCTCGAACTTGGCTGCTACTTTCTCTCTCTGCTCTTTCAGTCACCATGATGTGAGCAGCCTTCCTCTGCCAACCACCTGTACCATGCCATTTCTGCCTTTCAGCCATGATCATGCTGAACCCACTGCAATGGTGAGCCAAAATAACCTTTTCCTCCTTTAAGTTGCAGGAGTCAGATACTTTGTTCTAGCAATGAAAGAGCTGACTACTTAGCATGTTACCTTTGATCACCTGATTAAGGAGATGTCCTCCATGTTTCGCCAAGCTACAGTTACTATTTTTCCCTTTGAAAGGTATACATATCTTATAGAGAAATACTTTCAATGCTGCAAATATTTTGTTTCATGTTGTAATTTTTCATATGTAATTTTAGCATTCTCTGATTATTTCTGCCTGTAGTAATTATGTTTGTGGTGTTTGTTAAAAGGTGAGTTTCTATTTGCATCTTCCCTTCCACATTTTTGTGTTGGAATGTTAACATCAGGAAAAGCTGCATTTTCTGTACTACCTATTCATTTATTCAACTTTTTATCAGCGTGAAATCATAGAGAGTTATTCTATTTCTTACAGTACATTATTACTATTACTTAGGTTTTATGGAAATTGTCTCAGCTTTGGTCATTAGAGTTTCTTTAAGTTGGCTCCTAATGTGTTTTGACATTCTGCCACCAATTTTTGAGCATTTCTTTACATTTTTGTTAATGCAAAATGTTCCAGGCTCATCTTGTACTTTCCTTGCCCTGGGTCTGAAATCAACCATTCCTCAAGAAGCCCTGCTTATTTATATTAGGCAACTTGTATAGAGAAACAAATGTCCAGCCTTTAGGTGTGTTGGTTGTTGACTTGTCATTATACTTTTGTCACTGTTACTAGGCTTGCTCATCAGATCAGCAAACAGAGGTAGGAAATACACATACAGAGGGAGGAAGGAAGGGTGGGGGAGAGAGACAGGGACAGGGAGAGACTCCTACCTTTAGCTATTTGTATTTCTATCTGAATACATATTAAAAACCATGACCTCATGTTGGTACCTGTTTAATACCACAGGGTTCATTCTACCCTTCCCCTTTTCTGTATTTGCAATTTCTTTCTCCATCAGTAAGAAATCCAGCTGTCATTATTTACAGTATATTTACTTCTTCACTAGCTCCTAGCATATGCATTCATTTCAGAATTAATAACCATTATTTTGAGTGCTATACTTATGTAAAGTTCTGGTGTTTTGAGTTTTGTAACATACAACCCAATACTGTTTTACAATGACTGAAATTAGTTCTATTTTCCAACTTCCCAAGGTGTGGTTATTGTTATAATCCATTTTGAGTTCCTCTCACATCCTGGTCAATTTCAGTTAATTAGTTACTTTGTAATGCTGCATTACTGTCCTAGAACTACACAAGAAGAGGAAGGCTTACTTGGAGAAATCCTACTCCCTTGTTACTCTTTCACCTTGTCCTCCTCCTGCATTCTTGTCCCTTGTTCTCACCTGCACTCTGTATGTTACTCTCTGTGTCTGATCTTTGCTCCCTGTATTTCTTTTCGGTATGAATGAGTAGATAATAAGTTCTTTTGAATTTTGCCTAATGAACTTAACATAAGTTTTTCCATGTCAGTTCCTAGAGATTTTCTTGATTCTTTTTTACAGATGCATAGTATCCTCTCATGTAAATGAATCATAGTTTATTCAACTACTCTCTTATTGTGGGTATTTTAGGCAGTTTCTGATATTTTATAATTATAAACAATGCCGCCCTAAAAGTTGTGTGTATAGACTTAAAATTCTTGTGGGAATATGTGAGAGTATAGTTTTGATCCCCAGTTTACTGATTTAATTCTATTTTCAATCAAATGATAGAATATTGAAAATTAAAACCAGTTATATCAAATAATGCTAATATTATTTCATTAATATTTTCTGTCTCTAATCCATTTCTACCTTCTATAGAGACAGCTCAATTCAATAACATTTCTCCGTAGCTAGTAGACCAAATGTTCAACTCTAAAATGTTCCTTCATCTGTTTAAATTCTAACATTTTCATTCAATAAGAATGTTCTGATATTTTATTTTAAAATTGAACAGATTGTTATTTCTAGTCATAAAATTCACTATTATATCAAGTTATTTTATTCCTTTCAGGTTAGGATATGGAAATTATAGACTACAGTCCTAAAAAGAAAAAAATAAAAAGAATGGCTGTCAAATAGGATGGGAGGAGAAACACAGGATCAAAGGCTGCTGGGACCCAGTCCAGGAGGTCTGGTAATGAGCTAGCACAGGTTCAGGAAGTTTCTTTCCTCTGGAGGGAAGACTGCACCAAAACTCAGCTTCCTATGGAACTGGGGCCGTTCAGAGCCCTCCAAGCCTCTATCTCCCGCACAGCTGGTATTTAAAATTTGCAAACGATACTTCACTGTCAATGATCCTGCCTCTTCCCTGGCTTAAGGAATCCCTCATGTGCCTAGTTTATCAGTAAACTGCCCTGGGACTTGGCACCTGAAAACTAAAGAGTATTTTTCTTGTCTTATTCCTTATCATTGTACAGAACTTCTTAATCCACTACGCCGCTCTTGTCAGGTCCATTCAAGCTTCAGATAATCACATGATGGGAATCTCTAAAGCTTTGTTGGGATATTAGTCCTGGATTCTGCAGTTTCCACACATTTAAATGAGCAAATCTATGTAGCAAAAAGAATCTTGGTCTACTAGAAGGTAACTTCTGATATGACTTCTACCATATGGCTCACCTAGTAGCCAACTGTGTCATTAATTATATATGTAGAATCATTTGGCAACAGTTTGGTAGGAACCAAGCCACCTGAGTCAGGTGAGTCAGAGTGTTGAAACTTGCATGGTCAGAGGCGTCAGGTAATGAATGTATCAAACTGTGTCTTCACATCCAAACTTCTAAAAATTACAATAGTAGAGTTAACTTTTCAAACTCAAGCAATCATAAGGAAAACAAAGTTTGTCATAAACACACAGAAAAGGCTCCTAAGTGATATTGCTCTTATATTGTTACCTCCTCGGTCTCGGGCAGCTAAACTTTGACCCCTTTTTAATGTAATGTCCAACTGGTACATTCCGGGATTGGCCAAAGGGACATCTGCATTACTGGTTCCAACAGTATGGATTTTCTGGAAAACAAGAAATTTACAAAATATTAAATTTATTATTTGTTTCTATTTTTCTCCAGTGGAGACCTTATGCAGCTTTAACTAGATTATAAGAATTAGTCAGTGAAATAAATCATCTTGTAATTTTGCACGATATCATAAACACCCAGTTCTCTGATAGTTTTGGAATTCATGAATTCTTCAGACTCCAATGAAAAAACTGGCAGTTATAGAAATGACCTATTTCGACTCAGGTTAGAAATAACAAATGTAACATGAAAAACATTTTCTATGGGAGAAAATAAACATAGGAATAGTGTCTAAAATAAAAACACAATCAATGATGAGTGTAGAATGAAGGTATACAAGGGAAGTTGACTTCCATAGAACTGAAAATTAAAATTAAAATGATTTATTCAGGTGACTTTGCTGCCTCATTTATCTGTACAAAAGATCTCCTACTGACAAGTTACATACTTTTAGTTCAGTCTCAACATAAAAATCACATGATTGTATAGAAATAAATTCTTCTGGAATTTTAACAGTATTTGCAAAAAATAAATTCACAATGGGGCTAAATATCTGCTGCTAATTTCTATGCCATAAAAGTGCACAAGCTATTTCTAGTTCAAAAAACATTTGCAAAGCTGCCTGTATAGAATATTTTTAACAATACTCTTAATAAGCTAGTAGGCACTGAGTTACAAAGGCACTTGCAAGAGAAATAAATACATTAAAATAACATAAAAGAAACATTCAGTAAAAATTATACAGGTCATATTGAATAGTCTGTGCCACTTTGCAAGCAGCAGGCAAACTTACTTTTCTTCCTACATTTATTTTAAATTTTCACAATAATATTTTCTGATCCAAAAAGAAATGTTTTCTTGTTTTAAAATATGCATGGATAAGGAAAAATAATAGACAGCAGTATGGCTCTTTTAGTTCCATAATGCACAAGAAGTCCATTTATAAAGCATTACTTTTAAAAAAAATCTTTCTTGAGATATAATTAATATGAACTCATTTCAATTGAGGCAGTATATTGTTTGAGGTTTTAAGAGCAAGTTACAGAGCTTTGTTTTTGGAGGAATTATTATTTAAAACAAGAAGCAGCACGACTTGGATTGATAACCTGAACTCATGATCTCTCTTCTGATCACAATAAAAATTCTCTTTCCTCCTCACAATGTCACTGTCTCTATAAATGGCAGCACCCTGGCCCAGCCACCCAGGCGAGATACTGCTGAGCCATCTTTGACTTCTGCATTTGCCTCCCACACACATCCAAATAGTTGTCAAATCCCATCCATTTCTGTGTTACAGCTCCCAATTTTCTGTTAATTCCTATTACCACTAATTTGGATCAGGCTTCCAAACTACAGGAGTGAAAAGTGAAATTCAATCCAATGACTCTACTCTTTGCAGTTCCCAATTATAGCTATTTAGCTTACCTCCTTTCACACTTTAGAAAGTCTGATGTAAACAAATATGCATAGATGTCTGTACACAGGTTCTGGGGTTGGGTTAGTTTTTGCTTTTAACAAAGCTAGTATGAATTTTATCTATTGCTAATTTATTTAATTTCAGAAAAACATGGCCATTTTTCTAACCAATCCATATAGCTCTCTCTTTCCAAAAATCTCCAGCTTTGCAGAGGTATAATTGTTGAGATTGAATGATTTTATGGTATACAAAGTAGTGATTTGATATACACATATTTTATAAAATATCACAATTAAATTAACACATCTTTTACCTCAAGTAGAAGTCTTTTTGGGGGGTTACTTACTTTGTGGAGAGAACAATTAAGCATAGTAACTAGATAGCATGAAATAGTGCTGAATTGTACATTTGAAAGTGGCTTAATTGTGTTAATTTAATTGTAATAATCATCTCATAAAATGTGTGTATATAAATCACTACATGGGAGAGTGGGGAGGGAAAAGAAGAGTAAAATGATTAAGATGTGATATGTATATATACCAATTCCTCCAGATTAATGTAATTATTATGTATTCCAAACATATACTAATAAAAATAATCTGGTCTTTTTTTTTCTTTTTTTTTGGTACCAGGGATTGAACTTGCAGCCTTGCACTTGCAAGGCAGGCAGCAGAACCACTGAGCTAAATCCTCAGTCCCAACCTGGTCTTTTCTTTCTGTGGGATGGAGGACAGCAGAGAAGTCTGTGGGTATAGTGATTATTTAAAAGGCTTTATAACAGCTTCTAACAGTTTTAAGTCACAAGAACATGATCTGGTCAGTGGGAAGAGAAACAAAAGATGGATTTGAAAGATACCAAGAAGATTCAATCAACAGAATTTGCCAACTGACAAGATGTGGCACATGAGTGAGTCATGTAGAAGTCTGAGCTGAGCCCAGAGAGGAAGTGCCAATAATAGTAGAGAAGAGAAATAAGAGGAGGAACAGGTTCTAGGCCACCATGGTGTCAATCCCCAAGGGTTCCACCAGCCTTTTAAAAGACATCAAAAACTTAAGTGGATCTAGAAAGATATGGTCCCTCAGACTCATTGCAATAGTTCTAAGAAGAGTCAGCAAGTTGCTTTATGGAGAGATGCTACACGTGTGGGTGGGTGTGGATATGGGTGTGTGTGGTTTTAGAATATCTTTTTAAACAATTTTTAGGAAAGATTTGTACAATGTGTCAGGCACACATATAGCTCTGAAACAAACATGGCTGTCATTTTTAAATATCCTGAATGTCATCTCCAACTTGTTGTTTACTCTGGTGGTCTGCTTTTGAAACCAGGAAACTAGCCCTTTCACAGCATGTATCACAATAAGGAATTGGTGACAATGTGGTTATTTTTCACATGTGGCAGGATGCTGAACTAAAGCTCCGTAAAGGCAGAGGCCATTCCAGTTTGTTCACTGTTGCATCACTGATGTACCTCAGGCATTGGGCAGAGTTCCTGGCAAGGAGTGGGAACTCAGCATATATTTCTAAATGAATGAACTAAAACATTAACAATTGAAAGGAGTTTAATGTTTTAATTGAAAGGAGTTTTAATTTTTTCAGAGAAAGAGAATTAAGAAAGAATAACAAGAAATGCTTGTCTAATGAGGACTCCCAGGAAGTGAACACCTGGGTGGACAGAACAACACAGCATTCTAGGAACCTTTCATGTCTATGCTTTCCCTAGGCCTCACTGGTTATTCCAATGTGGTTTGTGATCTGAGACATTCCAAACCAGAATTTACATGCTAGATATCTCTGATTAAAGGCGTTAGAAACTGGAATTAAAAACAAATAAAACTTGCCAGGGATTTATCTCAGTGGTTCTGCCGCCTGCCTCACAAGCGCAAGGATCCGAGTTCGATCCCTGGTACCAAAAAAGCAAATAAAACTGCCATATATATATATATATATATATGCTACTTATCTTACTCTGTTTTCTGTTGCTATAACAAAATACCTGAGGCAGGATAATTTATAAAAGAAGGAGGTTCATTTTGGATCACAGTTCTGAAGGCTAGGAAGACACTGGCATTTGCTTGTTTTCTGGTGAGAGTTCTCAACTTTGCTTTGTAAAAACTTACTCTCTTGGTAATGAACCTAATCCCATGAGAGCGAGAATTCACTCCAAGAAAAGCATTAATCCCTGTTAAAAGTTCCATCCCAACTCCACTATGCTGACAACCAAATTTCAACATGTTTGGTGACACCACATCTAAGCCACAGCATTACCTCTTTTACCAAGTTTTTCATTTGACTCAAGTCAAAATGTACCTTTCTTTTCTCTCTGTATTCCTTCTCTCTCTCTCTCTCTCCTTTTCTAGCCTAGATTTCTAGATTCCAAAGGATGCATCAGATAAACATTTAGAGATTCAAGAGACAAACTAGAGGAACTACTAGAGGAACTAGAGGAACTTCAGGTGCTCTCTGGAGCTAATTCTTCTTTAGTTGTTGAGTTGACCTATCTTTAACCTAGCTATTTCCTAGTATTCCAATTTTAAGCATTTTGCAGAAAATATAGGTTGGCTTGTTCAATGTGTATTCCAAATCTCTCTGAGGCTGGAGAACTGAAACGTACTTTCCAGGTTTTTTAAAAGCTAGAATTGTGCTGCATGACTTTGGTTCTTCAGTTATACGATGGCTGGAGATAGAAGTGAGCACCATGGTTCACAGACAAGGTTGGTGCAGCCACTCTCTTATTCTTCTGGGAGGCCGTAGGAAATTGTGCTGTGCAGTCTCTGGTGTCCTAAGTGCCACTCACCAGGCAGAAGTAGCACTGGTGTGATGTGATTGGTTCTTTTTCCAGACCTTGTGGCTATTCAAGTCTGGCTCCCTGGCCTTGACTTTGTTTAAATTATCTGGAGTGGATTCTGTGTTCAATAATCTAGAACACTCCTCACATCAATGCTTGATAGAAGGCGATGCTGGCAAGAAATGTTTAGGGAAGTAGTCATCTGGATTGTCCTATTAATATTAGAGGATGAGCCACAAAAAGGTCACAAGATGGGTAAATTGCTACTTAATCACCTGAGAACGTAGAGCTTTACTAGAAGCAAAGCTTTGTTAGACCAACTGACTGCTATGATGACATAATAAAGGGCGCAGGAAATTGGGAAAAGGAGTGGGTTGCTGCTAAGAGGCCTAAAAGTTTAAAGAGAAAGAAATGATAAGCTCAAAAGTTTAAATTTAGAGCTGTTAATAATTGTACAGTGTAAACAGATCTAAACAATACTGTCGAAAGAAGCTGGGTGCGTTGGGAGCAGGAACACCCTAAGTTCTGTTATGTGCACATCCCAATATGCTAACGTTAAACCCACTCTTCTGCATGAATAATATGTACTAACAAAACTTTTAAAAAGAAACCTCCTGAATTGTACGGTTTAAAATGGTGAATGTTATGTTGTGTGGCTTATATTTCAATTAAAATATTTATTTTGCAGTCACAGAAAATGTAATATAAGTAAAAAGGTATTTCCATATGTTCTCAAATTAAAAATATATAGTAAAAAACAAAAGCAAAACAAAAAACTTTAACTAGAGT